CTAAGACTTTGGGGTTGGGTGGGAAGGACAGGAGGTGGACACCTGAGGGCCCCTCTGCTGGGGCCAGCTGGAGCCCAGGCAAGAGTGACAGAGCCCTCAAGACTCAGTGGCAGGCCTGTTTTTAGTCCTCAAGCCCTTGCACACCTGGGGATCGAGTTGGGTTTCATTCCAGGCAGCTAGTCCAGACCCTGAAGTGCTGACTCGGCCCCTGCTGGTAGCCTGCAGGCCTCAGCATGGGCCAGCGGGAGCTCTGGGGGACAGGTGAGTCACTGGACGTGGGAAGCGAAGTGTGCTGCTGGGACAGGCGGTGCAGGTGTGCGTGGKGACGGGTGCCTCCAGAGCCTGCCTGGCAGGCTGGGCCAGGGGCCCGGGTGGGAAGGCCAGCCCCCGCCTCCTTTGTTTTTGCCTAGGACATGTGCTGCCTGGTTCTTCCTCCAGGCATTGGGGTGGACAGACAGGCTCTTGCCCTGGCAACCCTGACCCTAGGAGGAGCAGAAGAACCACGTCAGTGAGCAGGATGGCCACACCACCTCACAGTGGGGTGTCCAGAGAGGGTGGCCTTGTCTGGGCTCCAGCTGGCCAGGCAGCCTCAGTTGGTTGCCTCCGAACTGGATGCTGTTGGGGGAACACAGTGGTGGGAGAGACCTTGGGTAGGGTTAGTTTGGGATGTTGGCAGAAGTCCACATTTGGCTGAGATGATGAGACACTAAAGGCAGATTTAGCCACAGTGAGAGGGAATTCTAAGGAAGCTCTGAAGGTCATTTCCCTAGAAGGCAACAGGTGACCTTGTCCAGTTACCAGAGGACCTCTGCAAGATGTGGCTATTCCAAAGGGGAGAGAACATCCTGTGGCCCATGCGTGGTGCTGTTCTGGATTCAACACACTAGCAGCTGACGCTTGTGCTGAAACTCTTGTCCATTTTGATACAAAAGTGTTAACACTGAGTGAGAGAGAGGAATCCATTGCTTCCAAGACTTCCAAGACTTCATACTCTGGGATCCTTAGAACTGAGCTTCTTGTTGTGACACTGGTAGATTCCATGCAGTTGAAAACACAACACAGAGAGGGCCTGTCACCATTGCCAGTGTGCCCCAGGGTGACATCATGCAGAACACACAGACAGCTCCCGCCTCCCTTGGTCTCTTCAGCCCTGCTTCACGGGTTGCAGCCTGGGCAAGGTGCAGGTCATGCCCTGTTTCTCTCATGTGCATGTAGTGGGACAGGCAGCCTTGTGAGTGTGCATGGTGTGAGTGTGCCCTGCGCATTGCCTGTTGCCCCTTCACAGCCCAGTCCCTGTCCCTGGCAACTGATACCTGAAGCAGGAACTTCCAACTTAGTGATGATGAAAAGGAAATCGAGTCCAGTGAGAGCAACCTGCAGGCAAGGCTTCAACTGGAGCTCAGCTCAGGGGGCAGCACTGATGGAGTAGCCAGGCTCCTCCCTGAGCAAGGGAGACACGAGCTCTTGTGGCCTTGCTGGGGTGGGCTAGGGCCCAGTCAGTGAGTTCCACTGGCCAGGGGCAGATTCCAAAAGATGTTTCTTCTCATGGTGGCCTTATTGGGGGACTGCTGGGTTGTGTTGCAGCTGGTCCCTTTGTCCTATGCACACACCTGGCCTGTGGCTCCATCTGGGCTGATGGCAGGGCTGAAGGGCTTTGGGTGCTTGGGCTACTGTCACTGCTGGACAGGCACAGGGCAGGTGGAAGAAAACACCTACCAGCCTCCATGGTCAGCTATGACTACCCACAGGACCCAGAAGAATCGACCCAAAGGGTAAGGTGGCCAAGGGGACAGGACCAATATGAAGACAGAGACCCCACTCCAGTCACCCACCAGACTCCTGCAGGCCTGGGGAAGAGCCAGAGTCTCCAGTGAAAGAGGCCTTGGGGTCCCTGAAGAGCAGCTGGGCCTCCACTGTCCACAGAGCCCACGCAGCAGAGGTGTGACTCGCAGCAAAGCCCTAGGGAACCAGTCATATGCCCTAGCTGTGTGACCTCCCAAACAGGCAAGTCTCAAGTTAACTAAGAAAAGGTGAAGCTAGAGGATTTACTAGGTTTTCTCAGGAGAAATCTCATCTTGTGCAAACATTCTGCTTCTCTGGTTGGATTGGGTCTTGTGACCCATTTGTTCAGGAGGGTAGAGAAGCAGCAGGTCCTGCCACTTAGGGGGCTCATTCACTGCACCCCAGGGTCACTCCCTGTTCCCAGCCTTTTGTCCCGTCTCATCGCCCTGACAGATCCATCCAGACTTGTATGCTACCAGCTTCTTCCTCCTGAGCCGTGTTTCATGCTATGGACGTGAGCAGCTAGCTTAGCCATCCTGCTAGGGGATACCAGGGGGTTTCCAGTTTTGACTCTCACAGAGAAAGTGGCTGTGGGTCTGGGCTCAGGCTTTTGAGGGATGAATTCAGGAGTGCGATTGCTGGCTTATGCAACAGCTGCATACTTATGTGTATAAGAAGCCGCCGCCTTGTTTTTCAGAGACTTGATAGCATCTGGTGTTGTGCTGTTCTATTTTAGCCATTCTGAAAGGCGTGTGGTGACAGCTCACAAAGATTTAACTTGCATTCTCCTGGTGGCTAATCAAGTTAAGTCACTCATCCCTATTGCCCTCTGTGGATCCTCTTCCATGAGATGCCTCCTCATGTCTTGGCCCACTTTCATGCTGAATTTTTTAAACTGTTGAATTATATATCCTAGCTACCAGTCCTTGTTGGCTATGTGGTTTTCGAACATTTTCTGTCTGTGTGTTTGAAAACCTCTGATGGGAATTGCATCAAACCTGTAAGTCAATTTAAGGAGAACTGGCATCTTTACTCTGCTGTTTCCCAGTCCATGGACACAGTATACCTCTCTGTTTATTTGGTCTTTTTGATTTCTTTTGTTAATGTTGTATCATCATTAGCATCGAAGCACTACACTTGCTTTGCTAAGTTTATATCTGAGTATTTAATTTTCTTTGAAGTAATTATATATGTATCCTGCCTTTAATTGTGGTTTTTCACATGTGTTGGCACAGTTCATAGAAATACAGTTCATTGTAGTGTGCTGATCTTGTGTCCTGCAGCCTTGCTGAACGCACTGTTCACCCCAGACCCCTGAGGATATGGGAGGAGGAGTTGTCAGAGACTTGGATAGGTGGAAATAGCCACGTGGTCACCCTGTTTTAGGGTAACAGGCTGAGACTTTACTAGGCCTGCAGCTGGTGAGGGGCAAATCCTATCTAGCCATGTCCTCGACATTGATACCTATGCTGTCCCTCCCTATCTGCCAGGAGTGGTAGGAAGATATGGAGGTCCCCAGTCCCAAGCAGTACCAGGCCTTGGGGGAAGGCTGTGAGAGCCAGCTCCTCGGGGTTAGGGTTAGTGGATGGATGGGGTGGGGGCAAGGAAGGAATGAGGAGAAGAGGACAGGGGAGATGGAAGGGACAAAGGTGAGGTGAGGACAGTGGCATTGAGCAGGAGGACCACAGGGCCCCTTCAGGGGTTTCAGAGAGTGGGCTGTCCTTTTGGAGGGCACTGGGGAGAGCCCCATTTCTCCTTGGTTACTCAACAGTTCTTCACAAAAGAAACCCCAAAGTGTGTGACTCCATCTGACGCACACACCACCCTGGTAAGAACACACAAGGGCTGGGACCACGCAACTGCTTGTTCAGAGAGGGATGTGGGACAGGTGGTGAGTAAGAGAAGCAATGAATAGGCAGAAGGAAACTTGAAGGAAACAGGGACAGAGACAATCTTAACTGAGCTTTGCATGGCCAGTCACCCACAAGCTTCTAGAAAACCTGTGAGTCTACCTTGTCCCCTGTTAACTAGTCCACAAATAAATACATCAAGTAAAGAGATATATGACATTTTAAAAACCCTATAATTTGTGTGKGGGGGGCTTTCCAGCAACAATTACTGATCAGACAGATAATGGAGACCCCGCCAGCCTGAGGACCTGGAGGATGACCAGACCACCATAAACCATCTTGAGATCCCCAGACTGATGCCAACCCCACACCTCCTGTGCCCACCCCTCATCAGACTTCTTTATAAGAAGAGCCCAGAACCCAGGAACAGAGGCCTGTTCTCTCTGGAATGTGTGCTCCTGCTTTCCTAACCCTAATCCTGCTCCCTGATAGACAGTGCTGTCAATCTTAACTGTCATGCATTTCAAGGACCCCACTTGTGCTGCCGGAATTCCCCCTTCCCTGGGAATTCTTCAGATGAGAACCCTCTTCCAGAGACATCTCCTGTGACAGTGACACCTTCCAACCCTTAAAACAAAGAGCAGGAACAGCCTGCCCCGACCACAGAGGCGAGCTTGAGGGACAGGAGGCCTCCTTGTCCACCTCAATCTGGACAAGGAGACCCCACTCTACACGGGCCTGCCTGGCAGGGCCAGGAACCAGCCAGACACAGGCCCTCTGAGCCACACTGGCCTCCCTCCTGCCTCCCACCCATAGGCCTCGGTGGAGACAAACAGAAACCTGCCCAGCTGCTGGGCCAGCTGACTCCCAGGGGAAGCAGCAGAAAACATCCGGGTGGGAGGGCAGGCTGCCTCCCCTAGGGGCTGGGCGGACGGGATCTTCAGGCCAGGTCCTCCCCAGCTCCCACCCTTCCGGCTTCCCCTAGCGGGAGGTGTAAAGGCACTCCGGATTCCAGGCTCTTTGCAGACTGACACCAGTTTCCTCTTCCAGGCTGGCCTCTAGCCTCTCCCTGCCGCTTTTTTGGATCTCAGTAGTTTGGGGGCAAAGAGACTGCAGGTCCCCTTTCCTGCACCCACCCCCGCGAGCATGTTCACGACGGGTCCTCACAAGCTGTGACCCGACTGGCCACTACAAGAAGGGACTTATTCCTGCCTCTGAGGCCCAGTTTCGATCCCGGCTTCAGCACGAGACCCAAAGTGGAGATGGCAACTCCGCCCACTCGCCCCTCCCACACGACGCGACGCCCTAGCGGATCCTTGGGGGCGGGGACTGACCCTATTGCCCCGCCCAGTCCGGCGCCACCCGGCCCGCCTACGCGGGTGCCTTTAAGCCCTCTGGAGACCCTCGGCCGGCCGCGGCGATGGCGGGGCCCGCGGGAGCAGTGCCGGAGGCTGCCGGGAGCGCACCGCGAAGCCCCCGCGCCTATGCGCGCCGCTGGGTCTTCCTGCTGGTGGTCAGCTTGCTGAGCTGCTCCAACGCCACGGTACCGGCCGGGCGGGCGTGGGAGCGCTGGAGCCGGCCCGCTGCACCGTCCCTCAGCCCCGGGGCCGGGGCCAGGGCCGGGGCCGGGGCCGCGCGTGTCCGCTGCCCGGGTACGGGGACCTGGGCCTCGGCCTCGGGCGCCTTCTCCTGGTCCGCGCTGGCCGCCGAGTAAGGGGCCAATGTCTGTCCCAGTCTGTCCCGGCTCCAGGGCACTGGCAGTCGGCACTTAGAGGGACCAGCAGAGCGATGGGCTTTGCCATTTCAGGTGTCCCACAGCCTGCAGCTTCCTAGACTCTCCGCAGCCCCCAGCCCCTGCAGCCAGAGGCCTAGGCTGCCTCACTCACAGCCCTTGTACCTAGGTGGGCTGTGTGTGACCCTCACTTCCTCTGTGCCAGGCCAGTCTTGGCCACCTCTCCATGTTGCTTGGACAGGCATCCATAGGTGGAGGGAGGGCTTCCAACCACCTCACCACCATCTGACCTGGTGGCTGAACAGAGTGGACTGTGATGGGGGCTCTCAGGCTGTCTGGGGTGGGCACTGGGGTCTGCAGGCTGCAGTAACTCCAGAAACCTCTTCCCTCTGCCAAAGCTGCCTGGATGAGCCCTGATTTGCTGCTGTGGCTTGGCTCCCAGGCCCCTGTGTCTAGACAAGGCTGTGGCTATACCATCTGGGGATGTCTAGACAAGGCTGTGGCTATGCCATCTGAGGATGCACTCGGGCCTCCTCTGGAGCTTCTTCCATGGGTCTGAGAAGTTCCTGGGATGCCCAGGTAGGGTCCTGCCATTGTGGAGCAGACAGGAATTGTGATCCCTGCTGGGTCTCCACTGTGAGCATTGGGCTTCATGTTTGCCCTGACCAGGTTCCTGTAGTCCCGGGCCACTGTTTGCAGCTGGTGACCAGGGCTCCCAGGTGCTGAGGGGACAGGTAGCACAGAGCTTGGGGTGAGGCCTGGAGACAGCCCAGCATTCTGAACAGGGTTCTGTGTGGGGCTCTGCCTGCTCCTCAGGAAGATGAGGGGCGAACAGGGAAGGGCTGGGAGCTGTTGAAGAATTTCTTGCACAGCAGGTGAGTTGGACAGGTCATCTCCTGCCATCCAGGGTCACAGCTCTGGGAGGAGGACATGGAGCTGCTGCCAGCTGTTTAGGGAGGAGCTCCAATCAGTTCTGTAGAGCAGGCTCTGTAAACAGATGCTGACACCTTCAACTGCTGGGTTAGGTCAGGCAGGAGGCAGCTGAGCCTGTTTGCTGCTCTTTCTGAGCTTGGGGATCAGCCCTTGCACTGTCCAGAGGAAAGAGGAAGACAGTCAGCCCTTGCTTAGCTGGCGGTCATGTGAGTTTGCCAGTGGGAGCCTGGCTCTCACTGCCCACCATGGAGGGTGTGGCCTAGAGCTCTGGCATCCTGAGTTGACTCATCGTGAACTTGGACCGTGATACACCCTTGTGGTTGGTCCATGTGCCACCCTCCCACCCCACCTCTGGGTTAAGCCTTGATGATCCCTCCTTTCCTCCTGCCCCCTCGCCTTTTCCAGAAAGCCTGCCCCATGGCCCAGTGTGGTGAGTGTGCTGTTTGCTGAGAAACCATGGGTTGCTCTCAGCATTTGGTAACTCCTACGGCCGAAGAATGTCCTCTGCCCTGGGGATGGCCTCACCTGCAGGACACCTGTCTCCTGTGGGGTGGGGCCTGCACACAGTGGAGGTGTTTCTACCTGAGATTCCATCGTCCAGCTTGCAACAGATGACCTGCCCCCCCCCAAAAAATGTTCCAGAATCTGAGCTCTGCTGTCCCTTTGGCACTGTCCTCAGCCCTGCTGGGGCCCTCCTTGTCCCTCCGGGTGCTGCTGCCTGCAGCCTCACTCACACCTAGGCTCCCAGGGCTTCCCGTCCTTGCTATCTGGACGTCTGGCATGGTGTCTCCCCCAGCCACCGACTGCCCAGACTGTGTCAGCTTAGTGCTCATCCATGTGATGGGGGGCCAGGGCTGCCATCTCCCCTCTCCCCAATGTCCCTTGCCTTCTGTGAACTGGTGCTGTGTCCAGGCAACTCCATCCCTCTGAGGTTCTGCTCTTGCTGCCTCTCCCTGCCCACTTGGCAAGCCTCAGCTGCCCATGTGCCCTTTCACACCCATAGTCCACACAGAGCTTCCCAGAGGGTGGGTGGTCCCCCTGCTGACAGCCCTCAGGCTGTCCTCAGGGGTCAGGTCCGGTCCCAGTGGGGCTCCTGATCCTGCAGGCTCTGGCCATATCATCAGCCTCAGGGCTGGTCCAACCTCCTATTGCCCTTACAGGCGGACTCATGCTGTCCTGCCGAGGGATGGATGAGAGGGGCAGCAGGCAGCCAGGGAGGAGTGGGGGGCAGTATCTGTGGGCCCTAAGCTGACTCCGGATGTCCCCACAGCTCTGGCTCAGCTTCGCCCCAGTTGCAGACATCATTGCCCAGCACTTCCTCCTGTCCATGGCACAGGTTGGCTGGCTCTCGCTGATCTTCCTGGTGGTGTCCATCCCATTTGGCATTTTGGCCATCTGGGTCCTAGACTCTGTGGGGCTCCGAGGGGCGGTGAGTCAGACCCCACACCATGGCCTACCTGGGATTATTAGCAAGGTCCTTTGCATTTAGAGGTTGGGTGCATGTGCTCCCCAGACCAGGGCCCAACAGCCCTGCTGGCTGGGACCCCAGGCAAAGCTGCCAGGGCGGAGGGATGGCTAGAAATTGGGATGTGCCTGTGAGCTAGGGTGGGCATTTGGGGACCTGGGTTGGGGAGTCCGAGCTGGCCAGCAGCCATCTGACTGTCCTGCAGACCATCCTGGGTGCATGGCTGAACTTTGCTGGGAGTATGCTCCGCGCCCTTCCCTGTGTGGCTGCCTGGGTCCCCAACACATTTGCCTTCTTCATGGGTGGCCAGAGCCTCTGTGCCCTGGCCCAGAACTTGGTAATCTTCTCTCCAGCCAAGCTGGCCGCCTTGTGGTTCCCAGAGCATCAGCGAGCCACAGCCAACATGATTGCCACTATGTGTAAGTCCCAGGGCTGAGGCCTCTGCCTGCCTGGGTCCTCCACCCCTTGAGCTCATGAGCCAGGGCCCCAGGGCCAGGAAGCCTTCCCCCTGGGCTGGGGATGAGGCCAGCCATGGCTGAGCTGACCTGCTGCCTGGTTTATCTCTCCACCCAGCAAATCCCCTGGGCATCCTTGTGGCCAATGTGCTGTCACCTGCCCTGGTCAAGAAGGGAGAGGACATCCCTCTAATGGTGAGGAAGCTTGTAAGGCGCACATGTGTGGTGTGTTTCTGCTGTCTGCTTGTGCATGTGTAAGTGGTGTGTGTGCATGTGTGGTGTGAGGGGTGTGCATGAGTTGTACGTGCATGTGTGTGGTGTGTGCACATGTGTGGTATATGAGTGTGTGCATGCTGTGCATGCATGTGTGGTGTGAGGGGTGTGTTTGTGTGTGTTGTGCACACACCTATGCACTTGTACTCTGACATGCCTGGGTGTGTTGGCATGACCTTCTTCCTACGTGATTGTGCAGCTGGCCCTTAGGTGCTAGTCTGTTCTGGGTGGTCAGGCTGGCCTTGTCAAGGTGGGAGCCATCCTTGAGGAATATTTTGATAGTCAGGGCTCTGCACGAAACCTCCAGGAGCAGGTGAGGGTGGTGCAGAGCAGCCCACCACAGGCCCTGGGTTTACTGGTGACTCTGGAGGTTGGAGGGTGGACAGAGATCACAAGGGGATAAGGACCTGGGCCCAGAGCAGGGCAGAGGCATGTGGGCACAATTACCTGTGTTTATGACACCCATGCCCTCTGCCAGCTTGGAGTCTACACCATCCCTGCAGGCCTGGCCTGCCTGCTGGCCACTGTCTGCCTCTGGGAGAGTGTACCCCCCACCCCACCCTCTGTGGGGGCCGCCAGCTCCACCTCGGAGAACTTCCTCCAGGGGCTCAAGCTGGTGAGTGTGGTGGGACTCTGGGGGTGGGAAGGCCCTGGTTGGAAGCACCTGGGCTTCTGGGCTAAGAGGCACCTCCCCTCCAGCTTCTGCAGAACAAGGCCTATGTCATCCTGGCTGTGTGCTTTGGGGGTGGCATCGGGATCTTCTCCAGCTTCTCGGCTCTCCTGGAGCAGATCCTCTGTGCCAACGGCTACTCCAACGTGAGTTCCTGCAGGGCAGGGACTCTGCCTCTGCTAGGGTTACCCACTGCCTCTGAGTGCTCAGTGTCCACGCTGGAAGAAGCATGGAGGGGCCAGCTGTGGGACTTGGGCATCCCTGGGCCTGACCCATACCTATTGCCCTCTGCCCCGTTCCCTTTGGCTCAGAGTTGGGTGTGGCCTGGAGCATGTTTCCACTTCTGCCCAAGGTGCAGGGCACTGAGGGCCTGTGGGTATCTCTGGTGACTGGCCCTTTTCCTTAGTGGGGTGCTCAGTAGTGGATCCCACTCTGGCAGACAGCCAATAGTGTTGTCCTGCTTTGGCCTTGGGTACTGCCCTGGTCACAGGGTGTGTCCCAAGGAACTCTGGTGGCTTCCTGCCCCAGGATGTTGCCTGAACTTTCCCCTCCTCTAGGGGTTCTCGGGCCTCTGCGGGGCTCTCTTCATCGTGTTTGGGATCCTGGGGGCACTGGTTCTTGGCCTGTATGTGGATCGGACCAAGCGCTTCACGGAGGCCACCAAGATAGGTCTCTGCCTCTCCTCCATGGCCTGTGTGGCCTTTGCCCTGGTGAGAGTCCCCTGCTGAGCCCCCCTGCAGGGGTGGAGGAGTGCCTGGCAGGTGGCAGGCAAGAGGCCACTGGCCTCTCAGGCATGGCCTCTCCTGCTGGGGGGCCCATGGTGGGTGAGGTGTCCCTGCCTACAGCCAGGCAGCCTAGTTGGCACAGCTGGCTGTGCTGACTGCCGTCTCCTCTGTTGTCTGGCTGCTCCCAGGTGTCCCGACTGCAGGGGCAAGCCCTTGCAGTGGCTGCCACCTGCTCTCTGTTTGGGTTCTTCGGCTTCTCTGTGGCACCTGTGGCCATGGAGCTGGCGGTGGAGTGTGCCTTTCCTGTGGGTGAGGGTGCAGCTGCAGGCCTGGTCTTTGTGCTGGGGTGAGTGTCCACCTGCCCTGGCTGCTTCCCTGGGCCCAGAAGAGAGTGGCCTGTCTGCTCTGGTAAGGGTGGGCCATATACAGGCCTGGGCCAGCCTAGGCCACATGGATTAGGCTTCATGCTGCTCTTGGAACGTCAGCGGGCGGCGCAAATCGGTCCCTCCCAAGGTGGCATTGGCTTTGAAAGGTGGACAGTGCCGTGGCCCTGGCTGAGGGCTGTGCATGTCCAGGCAGGCCCAGGGTGTGCTCATCATGGTGTTACTGACGGTGTTGACTGTGCGGCCCGAAGATCCATCCTCCTCCACCTGCCAGCATGGTGAGGACCCGCTGGACTGGACAGGTCAGTGTCCATACCCAGGGCCCTCAATGGGTAGAGGTAAAAAGGCCAGGCCTGGCCAGTTGGGGCAGCCCTGGAACCCCCATTCTGGGCTCTGGGTGCCCTTCACATGCCACCTACACCTGAGCACCTGAGCTCAGCAGGTGGGTGCAGCCCAAAGACCCTGAGAGAAGCCCAGTCTCAGTGCCCCCTGGTGAGCTGTTTTAGAGCCAGGAAAGAGAGAGAGAAGTGGAGAGACATGGGGGCAGAGAATGGGGAGGGGCTGAGAGGAGAGGGACAGGGACAGAGCATGGTCGGAGCTGGAGTGGGCAGTGATGACAGTGGGGGTCAGGCACCCTGGGCACAAGGCCTGTGACCCCCGGGACTGTCAGGATGGGGAGCAGGGCTGCTTCAGGGATGCATTGTGGCCATGGTGGGTCCAGATCCCCTGGGCTCTGCCATGGCTGAGGGCTCCTCTGGCTAATTGGGCCAGCTGAGAGAGAGCTGTGTGTGTCCCCAGTGTCTCTGCTGCTGATGGCCAGCCTGTGTACCCTCTTCACCTGTGTCTTGGTGCTCTTCTTCCACACCCCATACCGGCGCCTGCAGGCTGAGTCTGCAGGACCCCCCTTGCCCTGGACATGTGCCCCAGAGCTGAGGGCACCACCTGAGGCTCCTGGCTCAGCACCTCCAGCTCAGAGGCTGCAGGAACCTCCTGGCCCTGCCTCCTGCCTTCAGGAGCCCAAGGACTCGCTGAGACTGTGAGCAGGGGTGTCTCATGAAGGGAGGTGGAGAGGCAATCTCTGGTCACCGGGACTGTGACCACAGGCTCAGGGTTCTTGGCACACCCRGGGCATGGCAGGATTTGGCACTCTGGACTCTGTGCAGACTGTATGGCTGAAGCAAGAAGAGCTGCTACTGTCTGGACACTGACCAGGGAAGACAGCCCAACACAGGGCAGTGTAGGTTGGTGAGGTGGCCTGACACAACAGCAGGGACTGAAGGGGAGCTGGGTATGAGGGACCTGGAGTGGACAGGTGTGGGCACTTGGTAGAAGGAGCCAATCCCTGAGCCTCTTCTTCTCTGCTCAGTACGGGGTGACCACACACTGAGGCTGGTGCTAAGACAGGTGGGCAGGGCTGCCAGCAGAGGGGCCCCAGGCTGATGCAGAGACTCTCGGGCAGACACTGGCAGGCAGATGTGTGGGTCCACATTTATTGAACTGGACACAACCAGGGATGAGTAGCCTCACTCCTCCTTCTCCTCCCCATGGGTGAGCACGTAGCTCAGCGCCTTGTAATCCAGGTTGCCCGCTGCGTCGATGGAGGCGAACTCCAGCATCTGGTCCACCTGAATGAAGGCGAGTTGGTGGTTGGGGGGCTCAGGCCTGGTGGAATGGGTGGCCTAGGTGCTCTGGATCACAGGTGCTAAACTCCAGAGGCTCCTAGTGTTGCTTCTCTGCCAGGAATGGGGAGGGATCTGGGAGGGGCAAGCAGGGTGGGCACGGGGCCAGAAGGAGAAGCAGGTTACCGAGCTGGTCAGTGGTGCTTAGGGTGGCCACCTGGGCAATGTGAAGAATGGGGTAGAGTTCTGAAGTACAGATGGGGGCTACCCTGTCCCCTCGGGCTAGGACAGTAAGTCTGTCCCCTCAGCTAGGTCAGACCACCAACTGGCCAGTGGCTTCCAGCCCTGACCTAGCCCAGGGCCACCCCACTCTCACAGGAGCCCCTGCCCCAGGGACTGTTCTTAGTCCTGCCCACCATGCTCCTGCAGCCTGGGGGCTGCTGTCCCTCAGTGGCCCTCTGGGGCTGCAGGCCTACCTCAGTTGCAGTCATCTTGTCAGCCTGGGACATCAGCAGGCGCTTGATGCTGAGGGCCAGGAGGAGCAGGGGAGTGGTTAGGCCCCCTGAGGAAGGGCTGGTAGCTCACACCAGGGCACCTCCAGCACGGCTCAGTCCTTACCCCACCTTCCCAGCACCTGGTGATCACCCCAGCCCATCCTGACCCCCATCGGTCATCCCCAGTCCTGAGGAGGTGTTTTATGGGTCGCAGTCAAGTGCTTGGGAGGGACACCAGGCTGTTCCCTCTCCCCAGCACCTGGATGAGGTGGCCCTCCTGTAACAGGGTCTAAAGACAGTGACAGCTGGAGGGACCTGGTGGCCTAGTCATGGAGACTGCCCCACTGGGTGGGACTGGACTTCCTGGGTCATCCTGAAGGACTCTGCTCAGGCCACAGAAGGCCCTGAAGCCGGAGAGACCAGGAGATGGGCTTGGTGTGGGTGCTGCAGCCCCTTCTGCCAGCTGAGACCCTCCCTGCAGCTGCACTCACTACTCCTTGTGGATGCTGCCTTTGCCGTCAGGATCRAGCATCTTGAAGGCATTCAGGATGGTCTCCTCAGTGTCTGTGCCTGCAGCAAAGAGGCCACAGGGTCCCCTACTACCCCAGGGCTCTGAGCCCCTGCCCAGCAGCATCACTGCCAGGAAGCCTTCCCACTCCTGAGCCCCAGGGAGCCTGCCCTGTTGTTCCCACCTGGGGGAACCATTCTCAGGGGAGCCAGGGATCTAGGAGTGAGGGACAGAGACCACTGGACAGCTGGGTAGATGGGAGGTTTGGAACTCAAATGGCTCTGGGTGGCTGACAGGATCTCAGGGCATGGGGAAAATACAGGCTTCTATGTGCAATGGCTGGATTTCTAAGCACTGGGAATTAGCTAGGCACATACACACAGCTGGCTGATTGGCCTGAGGGCTGCCCAGGAGTGCTATCCCTGAGAGGAACCAAAGAGCTCACTAGTCAGCTTCTCCCCAAACAGGTTCAGGAACATGGTAAAGTTGATGGGCCCTGAAGCCTCCCGGAGCATGGCGTCCAGCTCATCATCCTTGACGTTGGTTTTGCCTGTTGCAAAACCAGGAGGAGGGTTTACCAGAGCAGGAACGTCACCCCCTGCCCCTCTGCCCTTGTTGACACTGGCTACCCACTCCTGTTGTTCTCCAGGGTGACCCCAGAACAGTGCTGGGCTCTTGGGGACAGTGCTCTCAGGCAGGTGTATGGGGTACAGGCTGGGGCAGGTGAATTCACCCCAAACCCTGAGCCTGGGACACTGCTGCTGAGGAGGAAAGGGGAGATCAGAGGTGGGGAGAGGGGAGGCTGGGTTTGGGGACAGGGGAGGTGTCTTTTCTATATTTAGGCATAAGGGGGGTTGAGAGGGGACTCTACCATAGGAAGAAACCTGCCCACCTTCCCCAGCTCCTGGGGCAGGACCGGAAGCCTCAGGCCTGGCCTGAGGAATTCCCCATGGGGAATTTTGGTGCAGAGGCTTTGTGCCTTGGAGAGGGCTGGAAGAACTGGGTCCAGTGTAACAGCATAGGCAGGCCCCACACCCTCTCCTAGCTCCATAAGGCTGGGCTGAGGCAGGGTGGGCTAAGCCTGCATAAGCTGTGGCTGTGGCAGCCCACTGGTGTTGTCCCCTCCTGGGATCCCCTGCTCCAAGCCCATCCCAAGTGGTCGTGTGTGGGCAGTGGGCCACTGGCTGGTCTGCCCTGGGCACCCTGTGCTGACCCTGAGCAAGCCAAGTGTGCAGGATGTCACCAGCCTGTAGGACCAGTGCCCTTGCTCCACTCGAGGAAGAGTGACAATGTCCAGGTTGGATGTCACGTGCTCGCCTTCTAGTGGCACTTACCCAGGGAGGCGTAGGTGTCCTTCAGGTCCTCCTTGTCAATGAAGCCATCTCGGTTCTGATCCATGAGTGTGAATGCCTAGAACCCAGGCTGCTGGGAGCATTGCTGGTAGCCCAGCTCTGCCTCCATTCCTGTGCCTCTCCTGGCTCCTCACCCACACCAAGGCGAAAGGCAGCCACAGGCCTACATGGGATCTCCCCCACCCACTGGGTAAGGGGACTTGGGCAAAAGAGGACAGACCCACCTCCTTGAACTCCTGGATCTGGGTCTGTTCGAAGTTGGAGAAGACATTGGAGGATGCCCTCTGGGCACGCAGGGCCCCGCCCTCCTTCTTCTTGGTCTTCCTGCTGGCCTGAGGCAGGAGCACCAAGACTTAGGGTCCTGGCCAGCTGGGGGAACCCCAGGACACCCCATGATCCTGCTGAAGGTCCCTGGCCAGCTGGAACCCCAGGGCATCCCAAGATTCAGGAGGCTTAACACAGAGGAGAGGATCAGGCAACATGGTGGCCCCAAGCCCAGGTGTATGGGGGAGGACAGGGACTCCTTAGGCCCTGGCACAGCACAGGGCTCAGACTACCTCGCTGGGCTTGGTCTGGGGGCTCCAAAGCAAATGGACTCCATGAATGGCCTGTCCTGGGCACCAGGTCTCCGGTGGCCCAGACTCTCCCACATGCTTCCCCGACTGTCACCAGGGTGGCTGTCCCTGGTTGGCCAAGGCACATACTTCTCACACCCACACTGAGGTGCATGTTCACATGCTCTCACACACTCACATGCACATCACACTCGTGTGCACACACAAGCTCTCACATCCCCTGCCCAGTTTTCTGCCTGCTCACCATGCCTGGGTCCTCCCTGCCCAGGGCTCCAGTCCTGCCTGTCTTAAGCTTCTGCCTGGTCCCCCAGGACACTTCAGACTTCAGCTGCCACTCCCTACAAGGACAGGCTCAGGGCCACCCCAGGGGACTGGACAACTGCAGAGTGAGCCTGGGCAACCTGCCGGTGACTCAGACACCCCTCTGCCCCCAGGCACCAGGAGGCTTTGTTCTGCTTGGCAGGTGTCTCCAGGGCCACCTGCCAAGCTTTTGGCCAGGGCCTTGGTGTTGAGAGCCCTCTTAGGCACTGTGGGCCCTGCTGGGGCTGCAGGAACTGTAAGTGTCAAAGGAAATTTGGCTTTTCCAGATCTGTACAGAGGTACTGCAAGGAGCCCAAACATTGCTGAGCACTCATTTTTAGTATTTATTTATTTATTGATTGATTGATACTGGTGATTGAACCCAGGGRTACTTTACCACTGAGCTATATCCCCAGCACTTTTTATTTAGAGACAGGGTCTGCTAAGTTCCTGAGGCTGGCCTTGAATTTGTCATCTTCTACTTTAGCCTCCCAAGTTGCTGGGATGACAGGCGTGTGCCACCGGGCTCAGCCTGCTGAGCACTTTGAGTATTAGAGCTCCCAAGCACCACCGTCCTCACCTCCCTGTCTCATTGGTATATACCAGACAGTGGGGCCTATGACCCTGGCCTGACCCTCTGACCTCATGGTGGCAGCTCCTTAGTTTCTGTGGCAAGAGACTTGAAGATGGCCAGGGTACCCAGATGACCTGGTCTGGGTCACTCTTGGCTGCCAGGTCTCCCTCCTACGCCTGACCTGAGTTCTGGGAAGGGACACAGCCTCAGTCACACAGCTCCCTTCCGGTGCTGCTATCTAAGACCCCCAGAGCCAAAGGGGTCTTCAGGTAGGACCCTGTGGAGGCATCACCTGCTGGGAGGACCTGGGGGAGACTGCTAGAGGGAGTGTATAAGACCAGGTATAGGGGCTAAGGATCCAGAGCCAAGGGCCCACTTCCTGGGGCAGGGCTGGGTGTGGCCCTGCTAGGAGTCTTGGCTTGGCTGCAGGAGGGGGAGCTCCAAATGTGAGAAGGCTGCAGATCTCCAGGGAGCATCCTGGCCCAGTTGGGCTCTAGGATTGAGTCCTCCAGGATTGAGCTCAGCTCTAAAGATAGTGACACAGACAGGGGTATCAAGATTCTGCACACATCTGACCCTGACAGGTGCAGAGGCTTCCACTGGTATTTCAAGACAAGAGAGACCCTCCTTCCCTCCCCTAGCCCCTCAAAGAGCCCTGATCCAAGCCAGGTCTCCAGCAGTGCCCATGGGTGGTCTTGCATGCGCCAATGGGCATGTATGTGTTGTGCACTGACCCCCAAAGCTGCTGGTATGTCCTGTCCCCTGTCGTCGCCTGGGCCCTAGAGACACTTATTTTCAATTTTGGAAGCTTCAGCTGCTGAGGAGTGCAGTTTATTTTAAAATCTGGTAAAGAGAAAGCCCACTCGGTCACTTGAGGTCATTTGGCCAGTGGCCCAGGGGCAGGAAGGGGTGGGGGGCTCTGAAGGCTGATGTCTGTGTGAGTGGAGAGCTCTGTTTTGTGCTCTTGTGGATTCCCCAAAACCAGAGGGCTGAGGAGGGCCAGGGTCTGCATCCATCCCGCAAGACTGGGCTCTAGCAGGAGTCCTCAGGGGCTCTAGGCTGGCCTCATCCAGGGCAAGAGAAGAGCAGTTGGCCCTGCAGGATTGGCCAAAGTGTTCCCATCTCCAGCCCTGACTTCCCAGCTGGGGAGGCTGAGGGCTGGGACTCCAGAGCAAGCTGAAAAACGGGACAAGCTCAGCCAGGGCTCTTAGAGGGCCAAGGCAGTTGGGCTCTAGGTCCCCCTCCAGGACTGCTGAGGTTTTCGCTGCATTTATTCACTTTAGATTCAGTTATGTTGTCTTTGGAAACAGGAAATCGAGGAAGAGTAAGGAAGGGTGGACTTCCGCAATTCCCAGGGAGGGGGGGTATGGACTTGGATGGGACCCAACCCTTGGCCCTCAAGACTACCTGCCCAGTAAGGCARGGTGGAGGAAGTACAGGCACCTTCCAGGAGGCATGAGGTCACTGCTGGGGTGAGGACAGCTGATGGGGTGGTAGACCACCAGGCTACGGATGGCCGCATTTTGGGCAACCCCAGCCAGGGCTGGCTCAGGTGTGGGGAACAAGTAGCCATTCTGAGGTACTGAAGCAAGCAGAGAGACTGGAGAGGTGGCCTGGGGAGAGGTGCACCTAGGAGCTCACAGCTGCGAGTTTTGAAGGCTGGGTTGGGGACCTGGGGGGGGGGGCTTGCTCTGGGTAGCCTTCTCATGAAGGTCCCAGTCCCTCCTGTTATGGGAGTAAGGAGGGCAGGAGAGCTCAGGGTGAACAGCCTGGAGATCACTGACGAGCTGCAGCCATCGCCGCCCCGGATCCCGCACGCCCGCGCTCTAGGCCTCCGACCCCTCGGGCACGCGCTCTATACTGCTGGTTCGTGCCTGACCGCGCTTTTCAGGGCGCGCACGCGCACGCGGAGCGTGGGCTTCGGTTAGTTCTCCTCCAGGTCCAAACCCGGGCAGGCGGGGCGCGGACGCTCGGCCCGTACCCCCAGGGCCGGGTCGCTTGGTTCCCTCGCTCCCAGGGAAGGGACACAGTACGTGTGCCGTACCTTTCCCTCCTGGTCGCGCGCAGCCTTTCCTTGTGCACGAGCGCGTCCCGTGACGTCACCCGCCGGGGAGGGCGCTCTGCCTCTTCCTACCGGCAGGGGGCGCCGCTCGCGCTCCGGCGCATGCGCCCGGCTAGGCTGGCGCCCCACAGTCTTCCGGGCCCTCGCGGCATTCACCTCCGTCTTGGCAGCGCTTCCGGTGCGAAGGTCAGGGACAAGATGGTGCCGCCGGTCCAGGTCTCTCCGCTCATCAAGGTGAACCCGGCTTCGTGGCAGCAGCACGGTTATATAGGCTGGGACCCCGATCCCTGCCCACTACCCTCATCCCCCAGACCCTGCAGGCCGCGCCCTGCCTTTCCGCGTCCTCGCCTTACTTCGTGCCCGACCCTGCAGGCTACGCCCCCGACCCCCACACCCTGCAGGGTGCTCCCCCGACCCCCACGCCCTGCAGGCTGCGCCCCCGACCCCCACACCCTGCAGGGTGCGCCCCCTACCCCCACGCCCT